ATCAACCATCGTCTCGTACGCTTTCCATAGTAATTTAGGATTTTTGGTACTTTTAATTGTTTGTGTTTAGACTGCCGAGTTGGGTAGCCATGTTCTCGTATTATTTTAAACTCACTGTTATATTGTTGCTCGATTATTAATGTCATTTCAATTTTTTTCTCAATTGGTACGATTTTACATAGCTTATATAATTTTTCATAGTCGTTTTTGTATTGATTTTTGAGGTTATTGTCTACTATTATCTTTAACATTCTTGTTTGTATTAGCTTAATTTTATTGATGTATGTTGGAAATGTGAGGCCATAGCTACCCAGCCCGTAGTCAATAGTCGCCTGTGCTAGTGCGTGAAATAGCATGTAAAGTATTCCTCTATTTACCATAAACTTTAAGTGGTACAATTTACCCATTATACTTCTCAGCCTTGTGCACACCCGATCAACCTGTGCATTCCACACAAAATGTCGGTCAATTGTTAGCCCCAGGTATTTATAAGAGTCTACGAATTNAGCGTCTGTAGGGGAGCGGCGAGCGACTGTAGGGGAGCGGCGAGCGACTGGAGGGGAGCGGCGAGCGTCTGTAGGGGAGCGGCGAGCGACTAGGGGAGCGGCGAGCGTCTAGGGGAGCGGCGAGCGACTGTAGGGGAGCGGCGAGCGACTGTAGGGGAGCGGCGAGCGACTGGAGGGGAGCGGCGAGCGACTGGAGGGGAGCGGCGAGCGTCTGTAGGGGAGCGGCGAGCGACTGTAGGGGAGCGGCGAGTGTCTAGCCTGGCTGGCTGGCTAGCTTCTGTCTAGCTAGTGCCTACACTAGACCAGCTCGTGTCTAGCTAGCTTGCTAGCTGGCTGGCTGTCTCCAGCTGGTGCAGGACGTGAAGCCGGGCAACATCTTCCTGTGCAGCGCCGACGTCGCGCCGGCCGACAGCGACGACGGCTACGACGACGACGAGCCGCGTCCCGACCACCTCTACAAGATCGGTAGGTGATGTCCAGCCTGGCTGGCTGGCTAGCTTCTGTCTATCTAGTGCCTACACTAGACCCTTGAAAAGCAGGCTGAAAATAGCTTCTTCTCAGCACTGGCCCATTTATTGTCCCGAAGCAGTAGTAGAGTTAATATTGGGACGTGTAAAAGTGCTTTTTAAAAGCCTATTTGCAAAAATAAATGAGTTTTATGAGCTCGTGTCTAGCTAAAGCCTGGTCCGTGAGCACGTAGAATCCCGTCCAATGACCCCAAGCTGCCCATCCTTGTCGCTCGCACGTAATTATGTTGCTGTCGCGACTGTGCGACGGGCGCCCGCAGTGAGTGTGCGAGCGCGACAGCAACATAATTACGCGCGAGCGATAGGGATGGGTAGCTTGGGGTCATTGGACGGGATTCTACGTGCTCACGGACCAGGCTTTAGCTTGCTAGTTGGCTGGCTGTCTCTAGCCAGCTCTCGGCCACGAGGTCGACGAACCCAAGCCCGACCACCTTTACAAAATCAATGAGTGGCGGCGAGCTGTAGAGGAGCAGCGAGCGGCTGTAGTGCTTTTATAGCGCCCCCTAGCGAAATGTTTCGTTTTACATTAAGTTTCGATTTGTCTCAATAGATGGCGTATTGTAAGGTTAAACTGTCCTTGACACGTTGGGAGACCCGATGTTCTTCAGAATCTCTTTATCTCGTCTGTTCTCCGCTTTCGTGGAAACCGGGCAATCTTTGACTGGCAGAGAAATCCAAAATTATCAATTACAATATTATCTTGTTTTGTCTAGGTCCTAAAGTAATTATTCCTCTATATTTTAGTCTCCATTTCAGGTGTTCTCCAATTTGGTTAAACAGGTTCGAAACCTGGTGATGTCTTAATATTTTTAAATCTGTTGCTATGTGATTCTAAGTAGAATTAAATCAATAAACATCATACTATAAAGTGTAAATCTAACTAACATCCTCCCTTGCAGGAGACCTCGGCCACGTGACGTGCGTGTCGTCGCCGTCAGTAGAAGAAGGCGACTGCAGGTACCTGCCCAAAGAAGTGTTGCAGGAAGACTTCACGCATCTAACCAAGGCTGACATCTTTGCTTTCGGTAAGTACTGTTTTAAATATTGTTTAAGAATATATATTCCTAACCTAACCAGGCCTGTTCATCTCCGCGAGTTTACATCGAAAACAAAACACGCACGATGGCCCACCTACAGGATACTATTCGACAAGGCCTCACATACGAGCGAACAGTGACTCACGCACGCGTATTCTTGTGTATGATGGGAAAAAAATAAAGAAAATGGTATACTAAATACTGTGCAGTATTTAACTGCCTAAATAATAATAAAAACACATAATGTACTTTTTTAAGTTGCCTCAAGACTCTGACAAGTAAATAAGTAGTTAATATTATTCATGATAATTCATGCTAAATCATGTATTTCCTCCGCCATTTTCCGCAGTTTGGCACCTCACGTCACATCATTTTACCGAAGTCAGCCCTATAGCTTCGGCGCAGTGCCGATCACTGACGTTTGTCAATAAAATGGTGCTTGACTCTTGAGACAAGCTAAATTACACCATACTGTTAATGACATTGAGCATACATTTTTTTAAATACCTTCGCGAAGTAAAACTTCTGTACGTAGTACTTATTATTATTCTGTGCTACTACTTATAAAAATTCCACCAATAATGTTCCTTATAATCTGATTAAGATAAAAACGATATTATAATAAGATTACACTATCTACGTGTGATAAGTAACAATATGCCTATGTAATAAAAAAATATTTTTATCATTATTCTTACATAATGTAGCTTTAAAAATAAATGAATATCCTTGGACATTCTACACTGCGCCGCTAGCCCCAAACTAAGCAAAGCTTGTGCTATGGGTACTAGACAACGGATATAAACATCCTACTAAATTATAAATGCGAAAGTTTGGATGTCCGGATGTTTGTTACTCTTTCACGCAAAAACTACTGAACGAATTTTGTTAAAACATTACAGTATTATTGTTTTGTAACCCAGATTTACATATAGGATATAATTTATGCCGATCTGTGACACTAAATTTCACGCGGGTGAAGCCGCGGGCAAAAACTAGTCGTTTTTAAAAAAATACGTGTACAAGTAACTGCAAAGTTTAAAAGACATAATAGTGCGCGAAAATAAGCCTTAATCTTTAAAACTTAAGAAATGGGCACCCGCGAATTAGATTTTCAATTTTTTTTTGCGTATGATTAAAAATAATTAGGATGAAGTAGTATTGTAAAATTTTTCTATAGAGCTTATTAAAAAAAATTGGTTACTGTTTACGAAGTCACCCTGTATGACTTTTATCACTTTTATCAGAATATGATAGTAGTGTACAAAGTTCGTTAGATTCTAAACGACAACGATCTATTCGAAGATATAAAGAAAAGATAAAGATGTTTTTGAAACTTTTATTTTAAAATAAATATTAATGTAAAATCATTAATAGTAAACAAATGCAACCAACACTGAACACTTCACTCATCATCGTAATTGAGTTATTTATGCTAAATTAAAACCTATTACACTTTCAATACGGTACACCTTTCATCATTCATAACACCATATTATTTTTCGAATAAAGGTGACTGAGTTTCTTCCGCCACTTCTTCTCAGCACCAGCCCATATGTTGTCCCGAAGTGGTGGTAGGGCAAGCTATATTTGGGACGTGTATAAGCGCCCTGGAAAGGGACTAAACTGAATTTGAGTTTCTTTAGGAGTGACATCACATATCTGCATTTTTGACAGTTCATTAAAAGTGACAGTTACATAAGTGTCATGATATTTAGCTAAATTCAATTGTTTTCTATCTTCAAAGTTTAACAACAGCTTTTCCCACATTTTCGCCTGCCAGCATTCCAACAATTTGAGTTTCTTTAGGAGTGACATCACATATCTGCATTTTTGACAGTTCATTAAAAGTGACAGTTACATAAGTGTCATGATATTTAGCTAAATTCAATTGTTTTCTATCTTCAAAGTTTAACAACAGCTTTTCCCACATTTTCGCCTGCCAGCATTCCAACGAACGCGTCATAGATATTTTCAAATCCTTCAGTTATATGCTCTTGGGTTTTGATCTTCCCTGACTTGATCCAGTCCACCAAATCTACGAACGCCTCCCCCCACTTTCCGGCCCATCTTGGCACCAGAAATCCTTCTACCCTCAACTGTTTAGACACCAAGCTTGGCTGTAAAATTGTAGCCTTACCCACGCCTCGTGTCAAGTCGTTGTAAGAGCTGATACTGCCGCAGACTGATACACGACCATTGACGTTCATTTGGCTGATGATTATACTACTTATTTCCCCTCCGACATTGTCGAAGTAACAATCCACGCCGTCAGGGGCAGCTGCTTTCAAAGCAGAGTTGATATCCACAGTTTTGTAGTTCAATGCCTTATCAAAACCCAAGTCTTTTTCCAACCAAGCGCACTTCTCATCCGTTCCAGCGAATCCGATCACTTTACAGCCTTTGATCTTCGCTATTTGCCCCACTAAAGATCCAACGCCGCCTGCTGCACCGGTTACCACCACCGTCTCACCAGCTTTCGGTTGACACAGCTCCAAAAATCCGAAATAAGCTGTCGCTCCAGGCATACCCACTGCTCCCACACCTAAAGACGGTGACATTCCCTTCAAATCCGGCAGTTTGTACACTCTATCCATCGGTGAGTTGCCAATGATGCTAGCATTGGCTATGGTATAGTCGCACCATCCTTTATGGCTGACCACTTTAGTTCCGACTGGAAAGCGGGGGTCCTTAGAATCTTCGACCACACCTACTTGGAACCCAAACTGGTCATACGGAACCGGGTAGCGGTAGTTGTAAGCTTGCTGATATGGATCCACGCTGACCCAGTGAGTTTTTATCAGGATTTCTCCATTTTGAATGGGAGGGAGGTCGTATTCGACTATTTTGAAGTCGTCCCTCTTCGGGACTCCGTCGAAAGTCTTGAGGACTACGTACTTGCGTGCCTTGACCATGGTTACAAGTTACAACTGACTGGACGTGTGGAGGTTACGGTAAATAAGATAGTAATGTGCTGTGTGATAAGCGAGATTATTGATTGTGATATGAATTGGAATTTGATGGGAAATATACCTTTTGTGGTTGATTTAAAGTTGATTTTTGTGAATTGGTCTTATTAGCATTATAAAAGCGATAGTCAATTGTTTGTTTGTTAAGTTTTCACCTCTATTCTAATTGTCGTGTAGTTTCGGCAGAATATGACCCCCACTCTTCCCGTGGATGTCGTAAGAGGCGACTAAGGGACAAATATGCGAACATCAGGCCTCCCCAACCCGTCTGGCCAGCGTGGGGAGTGTAGGACAAATCCTCTTGCCTCTGGTCAATTAGAGAGGCGTGTTCCTGCAGTGGAGACTAAATGACCTGATGATAAAAATATACTTTCTGTGACAGAGCGAAGTCCACGCAAGCAAAGTCGGTAGCGAAACTTAGCTAGCAATTACATAATTATTTTTTATATTAATCATCGACTCATATTGATTATCAAGTAATTACTCGAATGTTACGTAACCAAAAAATGATTGTGATACCCTTTTACGTTTTGACAATTCATTGTAGATGATAAAGCATTTTTATTGATAATCTAGCTTCGATATTAGATATCGATCTATCATAGATTTTATAAGTATTTCATGGGAATTTATATTATTTTATTTATTAGGAAAACTAAGTATGGATCCTGAAATCATTGAATTTTCGGATAGTTCCAGAATATTCCGTAATCTATTATTGTAATCACTTATCGTTTCCTCCCATGTTCTTCTAATTAATTTCGTTGCGGGTCCAATGACAGTTAAACTTTCCCTGGGACAAACTTGGCCTTCACTGGTTGGGTTATTGGCGGTCAAGCTGTAGATCCTGGCTACACAGGAGTTGCAGCGGTGGGAACGAGAGGTGGGAATAGTCCCGTCAAGTTTGTCCCGGGGGATAGGTCAAAGAAAAACAGCAATGAATTGGGAATGATGATGATTAACATAGTCAGCCGTTTGGTGTAGTGGTTCGAAACGGACTACTATTCCGGAGGTAGCGGGTTCGATTCCCGCACAGTACAAACATTTGTGTGCATGAACATGTTTGTTGGTATTGGACTGGGTGTTTTCTATGTATATTATGTGTGTATTTAAAAAAAAACAGTATTTAAGTATGTTTATATCCGTTGTCTAGTACCCAAAGTACAAGCTTTGCTTAGTTTGGGACTAGAAGCGCAGTGTAAAATGTCCAAGGATATTTATTTATTATTTATTTATTGTTTTTCAGGTCTAACGTTATTCGAGGCGGGAGGCGGTGGTCCTTTACCGAAGAATGGGCAGCAGTGGCACGATTACAGAGAGGGCAAACTGCCCGACCTGCCCGGACTGTCGAGGGAATTCAACCAGCTGTTGAAGGTAAGAAAGAAAGAAAAGCTTTATTTGACACGCCTCTATCTGTTTAGCCCGAAGGTGGTTTGTGGCGTTAATGTCGCCTTATTATTATTATGTTCCTACATATTAACCTTAAGGATTCAATAAATAAAGTCGCCCACAAGATGTAAAGACAAAACTTATAACCCCGCAAGGGTTTAGCATCTTATTTGGTTGTAGTAAGTTTTTTGGTAAATCGAGTCTCATATCACACTTCAATATTTTAATACTATCTCAATGTACATTTTTTATTACCGAGTTTCTAGCACTGATACATTTATTGTCCCTAAGCAGTGGTAGTGTTAAAGTAATAATGTAAAAGCGCTTTTTAAAAGGCTATTTACTGTCAATAAATAAATTATTACTTTCTATTCCAAAACTACAGCAAGTGAAGACATCCTGGTAAAGGTTGCAGGATTTAGCACATTATAAGTGTGATTTTTTGTTAACCGAGTAGTATATCACTTGAAATTTAATTTAATTGCTATCGCCCGTATTCACAAACATTACTATGAGACAAACCTCAAAAACTTTACTCACAGTGCTCTATTCAACGCTGTGCGTTCGATTTGCTGCTTCAATTAGGCAAGCATCATTTGTGAATACGGGCGTATGTTTCTGAACATTTTTCAATTAACAACATTTATTTCCCAGAAAATGGTCGACCCGGACCCGACGGTGCGACCGTCCGCCGCCAGGCTTCGTAAGCACCCGCTGCTCCATCCGTCGTGCAACAAAAGCAAGTCGCAACTCCGACGCGAGCTCGCCGCGGCTAAGATGAAGAACGAACTGCTGGCTAGGAAGCTGCAAGAGGCTGCTAGGTTAGTAGGCACCAAAGTCCGGTCGCCGAGCACGCAGAATTTCGTCCAATGACCCCAAGCTACCCATCCTTATCGCTCGCGACGGGCGGGCTTTTGTGGCGTAGTTTTGAGCTGACACTGTAAGGTTTGTTGTCAAGGCTAAGACGAAGAACGAACTGCTGGCTTGGAAGCTACAAGAGGCTGCTAGGTTAGATTCGTTCTTTCGTTCGTTCATTCGTTTCAGCCAAATGACGTCCACACGCTGCACAAAGACCTCCCCCAAGGTTTTCCACAATAAACTGCCCGCATCCAGGCTCTTCGGTCGCCGAGCAAGTAGAATTTCGTCCAATGACCCCAAGCTACCCATCCTTATCGCTCGCGCGTAATTATATTGCTGTCGCGCTCGCGACGGGCGGCTCTTGTGGCGGAGTTTTGGGCTGACACTGTGTAAGGTTTGTTGTCTAGCCTCTGTGGTCTAGTGGTAAGACCACCTGCTTCAGGCGCAGAGGTTCGATTCCCAGTGGGGGCAGATTTTTCTGTTCGGTTTGGTTGGTGGTAGGGCTTGTTCTAAGTCCGCCTGGTTAGCTACCACCATCTTACCTACGTGTTCCGGCAGTTAGAGGTAAGATAGCCAGTTCCTCAGTGGTTGAGGATTCCGGGGTAAGCTCGCTTCCACTCTCGGCCTGATCATCACTTACCATCAGATGAGCTTCCTCGTTGTGGCTAAAAAAAGAAGCCAAATGACGTCCACAGCTAGACAAAGGCCTCCCCCAAGGATTTCCACAAAGACCGGTCCTACATTAAGTAAGCACCCGCTGCTCCATCCGTCGTGCAACAAAAGCAAGTCGCAGTTCCGACGCGAGCTGGCCGCCGCCAAGATGAAGAACGAACTGCTGGCTAGGAAGCTGCAAGAGGCTGCTAGGTTAGTAGACACTAAAGTCCGGTCGCCGAGCGCGTAGAATTTCGTCCAATGACCCCAAGCTACACATCCTTATCGCTCGCGGCGGGCGGGCTTTTGTGGCGTAGTTTTGAGCTGACACTGTAAGGTTTGTTGTCAAGGCTAAGACGAAGAACGAACTGCTGGCTAGGAAGCTACAGGAGGCTGCTAGGTGAGATTCGTTCTTTCGTTTTAGCCAAATGACGTCCACTGCTGGACAAAGACCTCCCCCAAAGTTTTCCACAATGAACGATTCTGCGCTGTCCTCATCCAGGCACCAGATCGTCGGACCATCTAGTAGGAGGCCTGCCCACGCTAGGTGAGATTAAAGACACTATTTTAAAGTCCGGTCGCCGAGCGCGTAGAATTTCGTCCAATGACCCTAAGCTACCCATCCTTATCGCTCGCGCGTTATATTGCTGTCGCGACTGTGCGACGGCCGCCCGCAGTGAGTGCGAGCGCGACAGCAACATTATTACGCGCGAGCGATAAGAATGGGCAGCTTGGGGTCATCACATTAACTTGATGATTTTCCCTTTTTGTTGTAATCTAAGGCAATTATTTTTCTATCCCCTTCACAGGTGTATAAAGTCGCTAACACCCAACCTGGTCTCAACGCAAGAATCCGCCAAATTCCGCACGCGTTCCGCAAAGCGCCTCCAAAAACCGCGCATCGACTCGCAACTGGTGGAAATACTGCAGTCAGTCACCTCCCCTATGCGGATAGAGAGGCGTCTGGACAGAAGAGGGAAGAAGGTTTAAGAAGAAGAAGAAAGAAGAAATGTAAGTCCGCGTAGACTTTGACAGTTTTGTTCGATGATATTGACAGAAGTTTGAAAGTTAGTCGTAAGTCATTTTTTTCTGCAGATAGCCTTTTAAAAAGCGCTTGTAATATTATTTGAGTTGGCTTTAAATGTTTTGTGTCGTCTGCACCGCATACAACGTAATAATCAGTTTTATTCCAATACAGTTGTCATACATTTTTTTAGTTATGTGAAATCCATTTAAATAATTTAGTCAGCCTGTGACCACGGCCGGTGCAACTCGGTCGAAACGTTAGGCAAATACAGGTAATGTTTCAATGTTTTCTATCCGCGTATAGCGTTAAAACCTGCTTAAATTAATTAAAAAACTAGATCTAAAACATCTATGTTCTTATGTTCGAGTAATATCGATTTAAATACGTAACATTGGCATTTATAAAGAAAACCTTTTAAGAAAAGAAATAAGTCAAACAATTTTCCGTGTGCGATCCTGCAAACGAACTACTAACGTCCGGTTCAAAACGTCGTATTAGAAAGAGCCGTTAGCCTATCTTTTTCTAGATTTACAAACTAGACCCGTTTCAACCCCTAAGGGGATGAATTTGGGGATTTTTTTCCATACAAACTAGACCTGTTGAATTTAGGAAGTTTCTCCATACAAACTGGACCCGTTTCATCCCCTAAGGTGGGGGATTCCGGTAGTTTCTCCATACAAGCTTTGGGCCGTTTCATCCCCTAACTAAGGGGATCATCCCCTAATTAAAACCCTTTCTTAGCGGATGTCTACGATGATGGGTGCCTTTTATGTATGGATTTTAAAATCAAAATTAATTAACAGAACCAATTAATATCAAATCTCAATTCAATTTAAAGCATAGATAGCCATTTGATGTGGTGAATTTTAGTATTTCGACCAATCACAAGACAGGATCTGTCGCCCGTATTCACAAACGATGCTTGCATAAGTGAAGCAGCAAATCGAACGCACAGCGTTGAATAAAACTCTGTGATTGGGTCGCGTGTCACCCTGTGCGTCCACACGCACTGTGAGACCTCATAGTAATGTTTGTGAATACGGGCTGGGTGTGACTGAGTTGGAATCTTGTTTCGAACGTTTTTTTAAACAAGTTGTTTTGTAACACAGTTATTTTCCGTTTCAATGAGGGTTTTCGCGAATGAAAGATCCGCTAAATGGCGAGACGTGGATGTGGGGTCTGACTGCTGCGTGATTGGTGTATTTTGACATATCTGTCAATATCATGTCAAAAATAACCAATCATGCAGCATTTGGACCTCGCGTGTACGTATTGCCATCTGGCGGATTTTTCAATCGCGAAAACCCTCATTGATTCTTTTCATAATCGCGTTTACGAAATTGCCGAAGTCTTAGCGCAGACTATATTTGTGACTGTGTGGGTGTTTTTTGATATAAATACGTTCGATTTTGATGCTTATGTCGTAATTTTAAAGTTCAGTTTGGTTTTTATGTCAGGATCAATAGTGTAATGTTTAGGAAAAAATGAATCTTATAAAATAAGCCAAAAAATATCCACATCTAGTCGCAAAACTAATACGTTTTCTTTCTTTCAAAACTCAGAATGACATTTAAAATAAGAATAATAAAATAAAATACACATTACATAATTTAGGATTTTAAAACAAGCTTACTATGACGTATCACCGGTTTTTATGTAGAACTAGCTTTCCGCCCGCGGCTTCGCCCGCGTGGAATTTTGTCTGTCACAGAAAAACTTTATCGCGCGCGTCCCTGTTTCAAAAACCGGGATAAAAACTATCCTATGTTCTTTCCCGGGACTCAAACTATCTCTATGCCAAATTTCATCAAAATCGGTTGCGAGGTTTAAGCGGGAAAGCGTAACAGACAGACAGACAGAGTTACTTTCGCATTTATAATATTAGTTGGGATATACTTAAATATATGGAAACGATTTAAGGCTCGAGGCGGTCAGTATTCTTGGTACGAAACTCCATACTGCAACGCACACTTTTCCGCACCGTAACGTAAACGTCTCGCATCGCACAGCGCACGAAGGCGATACGTATAGTTTAGGTTAGGTTAGGCTATAACCTTTAAACGGAAAAGTTTGCCGGAAAATTTTTGGTCTAAAAACCGCCTCTGTGGTCTAGTGGTAAGACCACCTGCTTCAGACGCAGAGGTCCCGGGTTCGATTCCCAGTGGGGGCAGATTTTTCTGTTCGGTTTGGTTGGTGGTAGGGCTTGTTCTAAGTCCGCCTGGCTAGCTACCACCATCTTACCTAAGTCTGTCGCCACAACAACAATGTTAACAGTATTGTTGTGTTCCGGCAGTTAGAGGTAAGATAGCCAGTTCCTCCGTGGTTGGGGATTCCAGGTGAAGCTCGCTTCCACCTTCGGCCTGATCATCACTTTCCATCAGGTATCTTATGTACTGTATTTCAGAAATAACTCAATAATACGTTTCCTGAGTCACTTTGTCTCTATCAAATTCTACCGACTAGAAAAGGATATACGCGTTTTAAAGTACTATATTTGTTATAAGCTATTTCTAGATAGACATAGAAATTAGTGCAGCTATAAATTATTGTTTTTAGATAATATTTTTTGCTAATAATAATAAAAACGCGTATTGTCAAATTAGTTAGGAACGGTTCTTAAAAATATTTAAGTTTGGGAATAAAAAAATACTGAAAGCCTTAGGTTGTATGCTAAAATATTCTATATTAAATCAAAATGTAAAGAAAATATCCATAAGATTAAAGCTAGGTCATTTCACTTCGTAGTGATCTATGGGTCTCTAAAAAAAAATGAAATATATTCGTTATCCAGACTTCGTTCACATAAAGAACCTCGTCTTCATACATAAATACGTCATAAGTAAGTTTGCAGACAATAAATATACATTAAAACTATGATTTTTAAGTTTAATCACACAAAAAATCGAATTCAAAGCACATGCATTATAAAAAAAAGTCCAATACAATGCCATAGTATTTTTTTTTATAAAAAAATCTATTACCGCTACCGAAAAATATCTTTTTAGACAGTATAAGTATAGACATTGAAATTCTATACAATGTAATTTAATTTTTGTGTCAAAACGTACGATCACGCTACTAAATCGGCGAACGTATCGAATCGTACAAAACAAAAACACTATATTGTTTAAACACAAAATTATCTTGTATATAAATGTGTATACAAACGGATTTAGACTTTATAACGACGCCAAAACGGCTCGATTTTCAATGACGACACTAGATTTGACAAAACAAAGGTGCCTACACAATTGAAATAAATTAAACAAAATTATATGTGATCATAAGAAGTGCTTTTAAAACGAATTTACTTGTATAAATGATAATTAGTAATAAAAAATGTTTTTAATAATAATTATTGAATATTAAAATCTGTCCTATTGATTCTTCCATTTATTTTCCCATGTGATATTGCCTGAAGTTTTAGATAGGTATTTTAAGTAAGTTACGTTTCATGAAATGTGACTTTTGTATAAAAATAAATGGCACCTTACGTACTTGTTTTAGGTGTCATTTTGCAAAAAACGAAACTATAACCCCCTTTAAGTAATTTTTTGAAACTTCATCCCTCAGGGGGTTGAATAGAGGGTTGAAAATGTTTTTATACAAAAGTCAAATTACAGCAATTGAAACAAACTTTGTTATAAGGCAGCATTTTAAGTATAAAATAGATTAATTCATCCCTTCACTGAGCGGGTATTAAATATAATTGAATTGAAAATATTCACATTTTAAAATTTTTTTTTTCATCTTTTTAAATAACAAAAATACGTAATTATAAAAATGTAGAAACAGGTTTTTAAAATCTGACCTAATTTTTTTATCTTTTTCGCCTCTTAAAAAAATTATTGAAGCACATACATACATTATAAAAAAAATCATCCCTTATGCACAAAAAAAAATGCGTCATATCGTAAAAATCTTGAATTAATTTGTAGAATAAATAGTAAAATATGTAATTAAAATATACGCGCTCAGTCTTCGAAATGGGAACGATAATATTATATAAAAAATCTAATAAATTTATGTAATATTTATATTAATAATGATATTACTTGTATAGGTGTAAAATAACAAATATATTGAGATTAGTATGTAAGTTTATGTACTTGTTCAGAGCTATAGTGTACGCAGTAATAATACATATAAAAAAATATACTTCTCAAGAAGTTAAATAAATCATCATCATCATCAACAGCCCTTTACAGTCCACTGCTGGACTATGAGCCTCCTCCACTATAGTGGAGGGTTTTGCCATAATCTCCACGCTTGGCAGGCGGGTTGGAGATCGCAGTTTAAAAGATTGATGGTTAAAAAAATATAGTTCGTGACACCCAAAGTAGCCAAAAAGTTCGCAACACGTCTTTGTTACAATGGGAATAAGGTTGTGTTTTCAACTTTTTGGCCACTTTTGGATTCACCAAATATTTTACACTTACTCTTACAGCAAAAGCATTTTCTCATAGAATTTACGATTCTTCTTCCATGTATTTAAAATAATTAAATAAATTAGTCTACAGTAAAAACTTTTGAGTTACAACCGAAAACATGGCGTATACTAAAATTCTGAACAATCTCCAAAATAGTATAGTTCTAAATACTAAACGAAATGTAATCCAACTAAGTTAACTTTAGAATCTTAACTTCTCTAAATGTGCCTTACTTGATATTTGTCTGTTTGTAATATTAATAATTAAAGGTAGCGCTTAACTGGGTCATTTCCTGAGGTATGGAAGCGGCACGGGTGTTTTTGAGACGTCAAAACGTCAGAATGGCAATGCCAGATTTTGTATGGAAGGTGGCGTCTTTTTTTTTCGCGCGGCCATCGACCAAACCTTGTTTTTTTATTACAAAATAGTGTAATAAACCAAACTTACTATGACATGTATACCTCTAAACTCAGTCTGAACTGAGTTACGAGAATTAGAAGTTTGATGATTTTAACTACTAGATTTGCTTTTTGCGCGCAAGTTTTGTAAGAAATTGCAACAAAATAGTGACATTGTATGTGTAAACAAACAATACCATCCATTGAAGGCTCCAGACTTCAGTGTGGAGCAGAATCGGCGCAATAAAAAAAGATTGTTGCAATTTCTTACCAAACTTGCGCGCAAAAAGCAAATCTAGTATGTAAAATCATCAAACTTCTAATGCTCGTAACTCAGTTCAAACTGAGTTTATAGGTATACATGTCATAGTAAGTTTAGTTTATTACACTTTTGTAACTAAAAAACAAAGTTCAGTCGATGGCCGCGCGAAAAAAAAAGACGCCACCTTCCATACAAAATCTGGCATTGCCATTTGACTGTCACGTCATAATAATGTCAATGTCACCCCTCCCGTGCCGCTTCCATACCACAGGCACTGACAGTTAAGCACTAGATTTATTAATACCAGTTTTCGAGATGTGTCCGTCTCTTTGTTCTAATATAAGTATTAATTTCTAAATTGTTAAACGTCTTGCTTGTTAGATCTAAATTTTAGAATTAAAGCGTTTTGGATTTTTACTTTGCAACAGTTGACAGTTTAAAATTGAGGGTTTCCCAAATTGCTCACTAGTTGGCGCCACTGGTGAGATAGGATACTCGAGAGTGGCGCCAATCTGGGGATTTTAAATGTGTTAATAAGCTACTGCTTTAGCGCTCGCTAATTGCGCCACTGTTTAAGCCACAAGCGAGTGACAGATCTTACACGCCAGTAGCGCTTACTAAAGCCCGGTCTCCGAGCACGTAGAATTTTGTCCAATGACCCCAAGCTACCCATCCTTATCGCTCGCGCGTAATCATGTTACTGTCGCGCTCGCACACTCACTGCGGGCGCCCGTCGCACAGTCGCGACAGCAATATAATTACGCGCGAGCGATAAGGATGGGTAGCTTGGGGTCATTGGACAAAATTCTACGTGCTCGGAGACCAGACTATAATAGTAAGCGTATTAGGGATACCCTCATGACAGAACTGTCATCTGTCAAAAGTTGAATGTTTTGTTGTAATGACAGTTTTGTGTTTCTGATACATTTTGGGTAGTTAAAATATTTCTTAATAAGTAAGGTATTATATTATTGTACATTTTAATGTTTTAACATGTTTCCTATGCGAGCTACGTCCATAGTTGTACTGCTTTTAAGTTTTTAATTTAAAATGTACAGTTGACTGCGACCTGTCACGAAATGACGCATTCCTCAATTGATTATG